TGCACTCTTTATTGTGTCTTTTTCTTGTGTATGATTACAAAAAGGACATGATTAAGTGGTAATTGAACCCGCTATGCTGTTGTGCCATTTTGTAACTGTACGTTTGATTTCAGACCAAATTGCACTCCAATCAGTTCAATTACCATCATTAATCTTAATTTATTGKTTTTTTTTGTGTGTCAAACAGCACTGCCAAGCCCAAGACTGGAATAATGCTTCTCAATCTTGGAGGTCCAGAAAATTTAGATGATGTTCATGACTTCCTACTTCGACTTTTTATGGACAAAGACTTGATTCCACTACCTGCACAAAAGTAATTATCATAATAAAGTCAACTCTCTTTACAGCTAGCAGACACCCACACACTGGGCCATCATTTGGTGTTCATAATATTTAGCAAACAACTGCAATAGGGATAATTAATTACAGTCATTTCTTTATAAGCATTTTGGCCTGGGATTTTTCTCCCTTAACTGTACTGAGTGTCCATATAATGTCAGGGTGTCTGCAAGGCAAAATTTTACTGTAAAGGGATTCTTAGACTTTTAAGTACATGCAAAGTTACCACAGTGAAGAGAAGTGTACTAGCACTAAACCCWTAGTCTGAGTCAAAAAGAAACCCTCTTTCCTGTTTAGGGTAGGGATGTACCCCTGAGTCCTCTGAACCCTGACCCTGTTCCAGTCTGAGTAAAATCACTGAAATTCATACCCTGTTCCAGAGCAAGATTGCTGAAAACCATACCCTTTTCCGGTATTGCAAAAATAGATACCCTGTTCCAGAGAGGAGAGAGCATGAGTTCATATACCCTGTCCCAGAGCGAACACGATTTTATATACCCTGTTCCAGAGTAGAATCACTGAAAATCATACCCTGTTTGGCGGCACACCCGTATAGCGACGATAGGGGAATACCCCCCCCCCTCCCCGTGAAAGAAACCAACCAACTCATCCAGATTGGGTAACTGAGCATCAAACTCTGGACCTCAGAGGTGAGAGATGGGGGTTAATTTTAGCATTATGCCATGCTCATTCTCCCTGCACATTAAGCTGAAATGGTCTATTGATATATGCAGTCAACTTGCTCCATGGATTGCCAAGAGAAGAACACCCAAGATTCAAGAGCAGTACAGAAAGATAGGTGGAGGATCTCCTATCAAGATGTGGACTGAGAAACAGGGCCAAGGAATGGTGGAGCTGTTAGATAAAATGTCGCCTAGTACAGGTAAATATTATGTTATTTCAATGAAAAAAAGAATGAGTGAGCTGCGTCAGTGTTTCTAATGAAACATTAACGATAAAAGGGTAAATTTTACACCGTGAAAAGATGAAAAGACTTACTTTTTTTACTCAGACGAAGGACTAGCGTCATTCTGAAACTTCATCTTTTCACGGTGAATAATTTACTCTTTTATCATTACTGAAAAAAAGAATGGGTGAACAAATTTAATGAATTAATGAAATCAAGACATTTTGTGATCTCAATACATTCAAGTGAATAAATGATTGACTGACTGCCTGCATGAATGAGCAAAAGAGCAAATGAACAAACAAACTGAGTGAATTGATAAATTTGTGAAATAAGTAAATAAGTAAATAAGTAAAGAAAGAAAGAAAGAAAGAAAGAAAGAAAGAAAGAATGAAATAAATAAATAAATAAATAAATAAACAAATGAATATGTAGTGTTTAAAAAACGAGTAGGAGTGTTTTATCAGGTATAAAAGCACGAGGCGTAGCCTCGTGCTTTTATACCTGATAAAACACGATCTACGAGTTTTTTGAACTGCTTAAAACACTCATGAACAATTTATAAGATTTTAGTTCAACTGGAGCCACCATACACGTCACGAACATGGATTTTTATACTTCGATAGAGATTTGAAGTCATGGGCATGCGCAACCAGATTCAATAGAAGCTCCCACACGTTGGATATTGCGTGCCTAGGCAAAGACAGGCATGTTAGTCAAAGATCTTTAAGGTTGACTATGACCTTGATGAAGCTCTATGTCTTCATCTAAACTTGGATGCACACTTCATCCCTGTTGAAATCATCCTCATAGTATTCGAGTGGTCTTTATATAAAGATCACATGTCTTTATATAAAGACACATGTGTCTTTATATAAAATCACTTGAATACTAATGAAGAGGACTTTATCGGGTATAAAGGTTCATGCACGTGACGTGTATGGTGGCTCCAATTGGACCATAAGCTTATGAATTATTAATGAGTGTTTTAAATATATATATAAATGAATATATAAATGAATATATAAATGAATATATATATATGTGAATAATTTGATGAATGAACTAAGTTATTACTGTAAATCATTGAAGGATGAATGTACGTACAACAGAACAATACAAGTTGATTAAAATGCCACGTTGATGACCGAATATGACTATATTATAACGTACAACCAAGACTGAGGCATGTGCAGGAAGAACTAGAAACTAGTATTGAATGAATAAATAAATTYGAATTATTTAACAAATGAAATAGCCGCAATAAGAATTAATGAATAAAAAGAATGAATCATGAATAAACGAATAATCATGCAGTACAGACTGTATAGAGGCTTTGCACAATCATGTAATGGCAGCCATGACAGGAGGCACGACAGGAGAGTCCTTCTGCTGTCAATTGTTCCTGCCTCCATCCTGCAATGGCTGCCATCACGTTATGGTGCAAAGCCTCGATTGTCCAGTTTTCAATATCTCCAATATAATGTACATTTTTTTATTGATTAGAGCTCRTGTTTCTCTCTCTGTCTCCTCAGCTCCTCACAAGTATTATGTTGGCTTTAGATATGCCAAACCGCTGACTGAAGATACCATAGAACAGATGGAAAAGTATGTTATTAACAAGTATATGTACCCTCTGTATATGCAACTTTGTGCCTCTGATTTTTGGTAACCTAGAACCAATAGGACATTCTGATTGGCTGCATGAGGAAATAGCCTTCGACATGTGTATGTTACTGCAATTTTTATAAACRTGCAACCTTTGTGTCGTCAAGCTGCACGTTGAAATTTGTTTTTTTTGCGGCCATGACAATCAAACCTAATCAGTCAGTATCTTTCATATTTTTGACTGGTGGCAGTGAAAATCCAAATGCATAAAAAACATTGTCTTTGTTTGTTTTTTTCAGAGATGGTATTGAGAGAGCCATTGCTTTCACTCAATACCCACAGTATTCTTGTTCAACCACTGGAAGCAGTATTAATGCAATATTTAGACATTATAATAAGAGATCGAGTGAATCTAAGATGACATGGAGTACAATAGATAGATGGCCTACACACCCAGGACTTGTAAAGGTATTAATGCATTATTAAGACATTACAGTAATAATAATAAACTCTTTATTTACTGAGGGTAGCACTAAATAGCAATATGCTAACAAACCTGTGGCCCTGTAAAAGTAAGAGATCAAGTGAGTATGAGATGGCATGGAGCACAATAAATAGTCATGGCCTAAGCGTACAGGACTTATATAGGTATTAGCTATTCATTGATCGAGGAAAGGACTGGATTGAGTTGATATTGCAGTGCATTTTGTGGCCATTTTATAGGATGTGATAGCCACCATCTTGAAAATATATTTTCCCGCAAACAATCCCACACTGCACTGCAATGCAATGCCAAGTCGACCCATTTCCCCTGTCATCCATCTAATGGCCAATTAAGAATAGAACCTGTGACTATATAATTATAATACTTAARTTCGTCTGAACCTTCTAATGGTGTATCACAGATCCTGCTCTCTGATTGGCTGAGATTCTATTCGTCTATTAGCATTATCCCTTTTAATGGATTTTATTGTTGTTGTTGTGTGTTTCAGACTTTTACAGACAACATCAAGTCAGAGCTAGAACAGTTTCCTGAAGATGTGCGCAAAGATGTGATCATTTTATTCTCTGCTCATTCCCTTCCAATGTCGGTGAGTACCAGTTCTAAAGGCCAAGCTCAAAATAATATTCAAAAATAAAATTAATGAATTGGGCGTGGCATTTCTATGCTTTCACTCGCTTTCAAATGAATCCATTTTTTTTTAAATTCATCATTCTTTATTTGTTCCTTCCTTCCTTCCTTTATCCATCCATCCATCCATCCCTCCCTCCAGCCTTCCCTGCAACAGCATTGATGATAGGCCGGTAGTTGGCTTTGACTAATCCAGTAATATTTTTTGTTGTTGAATATGTTCTAGGTTGTCAACAGGGGCGATCCCTATCCACAAGAAGTTGCCGCTACTGTCCAGAGAGTCATGGAGGCACTAAATTTCTCACATCCATATCGACTTGTTTGGCAATCCAAGGTTAGTTACTGGAACTTAAATTGACTTGAAACTCAGTCTCTCAATCAGCCTACAATGACAAAAAAATTCTGCCATTCATTTGCTATTAAACAGAGGACATTCTATTGCTTGGGATCAATCAGCTGAATGAATCTTCCAAAGAATCTCATTACCAGCCTACAACGACGAGAAAACGCTGCCCGTCTTTGCTATTAAACAGATAGCATTATATTGCTTGGTATCAATCAGCTAAATGAAATTCTCATGAATTTTATTACCAGCCTACAATGGCAATAAAACACTGTATGTCATATTGTGCTATCAACCAGAGAGTATTCTATTGCTTGGTATCAATTTGTTGAATGAATATCTTGAATCTGTCAATATCCTTGTCAATCAGTAGTCAAACGACAAAGTCTACTCTCTATGCTTGACCTCACATTAAGTTATTAGTGAAACCTTTCTTTTAACTAACAGAAATTTCGTGTTAGCCAAGTAAAGACTTGATTAGAAAGGGTTGAATTGCTGGGAGTGAAATAACAAAAGACACGGTGGATGATATAGCAAAATAATTCATTGACAAGTTTTTTTTAAACTTCCTCCATGGTGGCGGCTTTGGCGTCATGCGCATACAAAGAATATTAAAGTGTATATGACACGAAAACATTTCATCATTTAAAATGTATAGTTTGTTAGTCGTAATAAATATATCGTAATAAAATGTGTTTCAAAAGCTTATTTCTTGAGATATGTGAGAAAATTAAGCCTAATTTGTGACGTCATTTTGTTGACACGTACTCTAGATTCAGTAGTAATGCACAAAATATAAATTGTAAATCGTATAAAATAACAACAAAAGGCATATTTTATTCAACTTCATTTGATAGCTTACGTAGTACTCTCCAAATGTTGGGAAACTGAAAAGTGTACTACCTGAAATTAAGATTCTACATTCAAACATATTTCGTGTATTTGCAACTAAATCTGGAGACTTGTAAACAAAATGACGTCACAACTTGTGCTAAATTTTCTTGAATTTCTAGAGAAATATGTTTTTAAAACAAATTTAACCGTGATATTCTTATTAATGCCAATAAAATACACATTTTTAACATTAAATTTTTTTCGTGTCATATGCACTTTAAATAAAATATACATGGGGATGATTTACATGTATCACAATAATTAATTAACTTTTTTTTTTTGTTAAATTTCTCCAAGATGGCGGCTTTGACATCATGTGGATATTAAGAAGAATATCCTTTTTTCGTGTATTTTCAGGTTGGACCGCTACCCTGGTTGGGTCCACAAACTGAGGATGCAATAAAAGGTCTGGCAAAGAATGGCAAGAAGAGCTTACTCCTTGTACCAATAGCATTCACATCAGATCACATCGAGACACTCCATGAACTAGACATAGAATATGCTCAAGATGTAGCCAAAGAGGTAAATTGACCTGATTATTATGTACTTATTGACTGAGTGGGAGGGCCGTACGGGAAAATATTTGGCTCGAGGTGATGCCGTACGGAGCGAGCGCAGCGACCCTCACGAAAATAAAAATAATTAAAAAAAAGAAAGCGCGCGGATTCGAGCAGAGCCGGACGGGTTTTTCCGGCACGCTTACGTCAACCCGTCCTGCCCCGATCACGTGACTTTTTTCAATGGTTTTATTAGAGCGCGCGAGCAGGGCCGTACGGGTCATATGATAATATATTTTATGCGATATGGGTTCGATTCCTGCAGGGCCTYCTCCGCAGACAACTCTTATATTTTGGAGTTCCTGTGGCAAACAAAAGAGAGAAGACTAGGGGCGATGCCACACAGGAGGCCCATTTGCACAAGATGGGATTTATCTCATGAGGCGAATATTCAACTTAAGTTCTGTGGCATAAACTTCTCCTAATTGATGGTTTTCAACCATTCCCAAAAAAATCAAATAACGAAAAACACGGCGGCCATGTTGGAGGATATAACAAAAGAATTCATTGACAATTCTTTTGTTAAATTTCTCCAACATGGCCGACGTAAAAACCATCAATTGAAGGCGCTTTTGAAAGTTGAAATGTTGAAACATGTGTGAAATGGCATTGGCAGACCAGTTTTAAGAGAAATGACATTTGGTGAATCCTTTAGTAGCGAAGCGGCGATGGGAGACAAGCTTTACGCACGGGAAGTTTTCAAGTGGGCTCCGCCATTTCAAGACACAAATCACCGCAAACATGATATGAAGTGCTGCACTATATTTACTTTTAGTCATTAATCCTTTCTTAGGCTGGAATTGAACATATAAGAAGAGCTGATTCGCTGAATGATAATCCAACATTTATCCAGGTTAAGTATCACGAAAATGTTATATTCACGGCGGTCACACTTTATGCATGTCTGAGAAACCATTGATTACCATAATCACTTTGATTCAATACTGCCATTGCCGAGCGCTGTTCCAGTGCACTTTTCGTATTTTATTATTGTCTTGCTGTTTTGGTTCTTTGTAGAGCTTTGCCGGGTTTACTTCTCTGTTTCTCAATCAGGAGTACAGTGGGACCGTCGTAAATAGAATAATATTGTCCATACTCCGCTCCCCGGGGGGTTACTCCGCCAGAATTTGGGTAGGGGTGTTCCGCTGGGATTCTGAAAGGGTACCCTGTTTATGACAACAAAAAAAATCAAACTTGTAGACCCTGCTTATGACAAAAGATATAATTTATTGCACTGAATTCCTGTTTCAATTATCATGTTATCTCGCGTATGGTTTTTTTTACAACTATGATAACCAGTTTCGGTCAATACGAAAGTAGAATATGACAAGAAACTCAGGAAGAACTTGGACCTTGAGTGAAATCGCATACCCTGTTTATGACAAGAACCTCGAGAAACCATACCCTGCCCAGCGGATCATAGTTCAAATATAGGAGTTCCCCCCCCGGGACTCCGCTGCCCTCAGCTCTATTCTACTCACGCCATGTTACTTCACTTATTGTAATTCACTTCATCGAACTCCATTCCAGTCCACCACGCTTCACTCCACACATTTGAATGTAGTACCCAATAGACCTTATTCGTTGTGTGACAATGTTTTCGCAATTCAGGATGACGAACCTCCAGGAGATTCATTTTGTTTTTACTCTTCGAAAAATTCATGAGTATCCCAAAGGATACGAAAGGAATAACGATGTTATCCCGACGAGTTTCAAAACAATAGCTCTTCATTCCCACAGAAGTTTGTCACGCTGAATTGGGAAAACATTGTCACACCACGAATAAGGTCTATTGAAAAAGTAAATAAGTTTTCATAATTTCTTTCTATCATTCCCAGGCAATGGCTGACATCGTACTAGACCATCTACATTCTAACCAACCATGTTCTCGGCAGATGACACTAAGATGTCCTATGTGTGTCAATGCTGTCTGCGGTCCTGCCAAAGAGTTCTTTGCCAATCAAAAAGTAGTTGCTAACTAATTTTTAGATTAGAATAGAGGCACAGCAATAGAGCCCCCCCCC